GTTTATGAATACATACAGTTTATGAATACAGACTGTTTATGAATACAGACAGTTTATGAATACAGACTGTTTATGAATACAGACTGTTTATGAATACATACAGTTTATGAATACATACAGTTTATGAATGCATACAGTTTATGAATGCATACTGTTTATGAATGCAGACTGTTTATGAATGCATAATGTTAATATTTAGTATTAACCACAGCATCAACTCAACTCATCGCAAACTGCTAAACCAAACGGGAATAAATTGTTGTTCTCAAATAATAGTGAGCTCAAACAATTTTATAAACTGAGACAATACTAAAATATAAATGAAGTATTAGAATGAAAGAAAGACCACTAACACACAGGCTAATATAAAAAACTGTTGCAGCATATCCATCAAGGGCTAATAATGACGAGTTAAACAAAAACAGCTTTTAATTTGGTTTTAAAGACACAGAGACAGGAACCTACAAACTGAAGATTCTCCCTCAACTACAAAATGTAACAGTGAAACCTTTCAAACTTTGCTGAGTTTAGAAATTTAGTTGTTAAAGTTTAGAAATTATATCTATAGAGTCAAACAGCAGAACTGGTGGAACCCAGTCCTTACAGGAAATACGTCTGACTCATTATTGGGAATCTGAACCCAGCTATCCGTAAAGAAAAATAATGTGTCAAGAGGGTCCAAACCCAAACACTCCTGACAACCACTGCTGTTAGATACAAATCAGTGAAGGTTTCCTCGTAGAAAGAGGTTGATATCAATGATCTAGATCCTGGACAGACCCGTACAGGCCGAGCCGTCTGGTCAATGGTAAGACAGGAAGAGACTATTCTGAACACAAAGACACCGAGGAACCAGAGGACAAGAGTGCAAATCCTGGATACAACGGTTCAACGAATAAGTCATTGAAGGTATGGAGGTGGATCAGTGAGTTGGAGGAGACGCTGTAGAAAGACAGGATGTTATCAAAACAGTCCAAATACACGGCTGCTCTGTTGGAGACCGAGGAGGAGATGGGTGTTTCCTTGTTGTTGTGCCAGGCAGAGAAATGACCGTCATCGGAGCAGTTCAGACTCCAGGACTGAGAGTTGGATCCAAAGACGCAGTCATCACTGCCTCCACTCCTGCTGATTCCTCTGTAACTCACAGATACTGATACTTTTCCTCGCCACTCCACCTCCCAGTAACAACGGCCGGTCAGGGGGTTTTTACACAGCAGCTGAGGATCGAAGTCAAACCTGTCGCAGTGGTCGGCGTAAGGCAAGTCCTGCTCCACACGCATCACCTTCCTGTTGTCAGACAGTTTGAGCTTTCTGTTTACTGTGTCTTTGTTGATTTTGAGTTGGAAGGAATCTGATGAAGAGAACAAACACAATCCAGCTTCAGGTTTTTGTTTTTGTTTTTTTTCCCCCGCTTGCTCTCGGCGAAGGCGGACACTTTCCCCTCCTGCTCCTTCCCCTGCTCTGCTCTTTGTCCTGTGAACCTTTTCAGAACCTCTTTTTTCCTATCTTTCAAATTGTAAACTATGGATCTGGTCAGCTGGCCTCTCAACGCAATTGATCAAATTTTCTCAACGAGAAGACAGGGCAAAGGAGAGCCCTCCTGCCCTGACGGGACACTAGCAGCTGGATACACTATATGGATTCTTGGGGGAAGTGGAAGATTTTGTGTCTGTCCATATTGTCAGTCGAGGACGCTGAAGATGTGTACATAATTGGATTTATAATAACAGGATTCCTGCTTTTTGGAGTTGTGGATACCTGGCATGTCGACAAATTCGGAAAACGTCAGCAGCTGTTCTGGCCATTGTAAAGCTTCTGGCATGTGTGAATGAATGTGCCGTGCTGTCAACACTCAGACTCAAATGCTGTGCAAGCTGAGCCGTAAGCTAGACACGGTTCTTGCTGAGAATCGCAGGCTACTTGCGACTCCTGAATCTCGCTGGTGGGAAGGAATAGATCTTGGAGAAGTCGTAAGCTCGACTTGGCATATGCAACCACAATTTGGCTGTTTGGAGTCGCCATGAGATGTACTAGCAAGACTGTGAAAGATAGATGGAAATTAACAGAGCTCGACCTGACCCAAACAAATTTGATTTCCACTGCGTCGACCTTGGAAGGTTGACTATCTCAAATTCTCCTGGATGTTGTGTACAAGACACTCTGCTCCCCCAACCCCTACCTGCTCCATTCCCCAGGGACATGGACCTGTGTCAGAGCTCTACTGAGCCGGCTGATAAACACACTTATCAGGACTATGGCTGGGTCAGGACTATGGCTGGGTCAGGGCTATCTGGACAGTGCTCTCGGTCTACTTCCCCTCAATTCACCGCCTTCGCTGGCCTCCCTCATTTTGCTCCATCGGTGCAGCAACCTAGGAGATATGAAGGCACCAGTGGCTGCATCGCTCACTTGAGTGGCCTGTGCCGGGACCCCCACCCTCACCCACTCCATATGCATATGTCTATATGTTTTTTTTTTTTTTTGTGCTGGTTTTTTTTGCAGCCATACACTGTGTCCAGTTAGGCATGCAGTGTGAGATGTGATTTATTTATTTATTTTACCTCCTTTTCCCTCATGTATCCTAATCTAATAAAAAAGGAAGCGCCTCTCAGTGAGGCTGCAGCCTCAGACACCCAATCTGCCCATGTCTGTTTTTTGTTTGCCTTTCATTCAATGGGCTGTATTGAAATGTAATTTCCTTGTGCTTCTGTGCAATGACAATAAAGTTGATTCTGATATTGGTCTACAATTTTGGTCAAAGATTTACATCCCGTCATTGGGTATGGGTGGCATGTATTTTAGACTTTTGTACAATTTATTTGAACGTTCTTTTTCCAGGGTGGAATGTCTATGTAACAAAAATCTTTTATGTCTTTTAAAAAACTAAAATTGGGTGTACAAGTTTTAATTTAGTGTGGATTGTTGTCAATCTACGCTGGGTCGGATTTATACATACAGGCTCAGTCACATTCAAATACCCCCTCGATATTTGGTCAAATGTCCCCACGCAAGATGCATCTCACCAACACACTTTTTGTATCTATCACCACGTTGCTGATAAAAACATTCATGCCCATGATGAGTGTATATAAACTTGACTGCAACCGTATAATCTTTGACTCATAAAGAAGTGATGTAACGGTTTGAAGATGGGTTTTCATGAACTAAATGAAAAACTTACATTCCCTCAGACCTGGTTTCAACCATCGAACCCCAGCAGATTCCCCCCTGAAATGAAAGATGGGGGACAGGTGTCAGGTCAGACTCAGCATGCAGACGTAGACATACAACTTTTACAGCTTGTATGGGGAAATCACACTCGTTAGTGCTTTAATCCAACACATGCCTGTCAAACCAAAACGCATGTACCCAAAAACTCTGGTACAAATACACATCCTGGTACGCTGCTAGTGACTGATGTGCTTTGTTGCATATTTTTTTACTTGTTTTTATTACAATAATGAATCAACATAAATCAGCACCAGAAAATAAGTTATGAGGTGTGTGTTTTATTTTATTTTTGGCTCGCTTGTTTGGGATCATTGTTCTGTTGCACCATGACCCAGTTTGGTCCAAGCTTCGGCTGCCAGACAAACGCCCTCCCATTGCAGACAGGTGCGCTTTATAAACAAAACCAATTTAGATCAGGACTGCCAGAAATTGATTGATTAATAGTCATATGGACACGTAACAATCTGAAGAAATCAAAATTCCATGCGTTTTGTAAAGGATCAAGTCCTTCCCTCGTTAATGATTTGAAAAATATATTTTTAAACTTTTTATAATGTATTTTTCCTGAATTTTAGCTATTGTTCTGTCACTAAGACTGAAACTACCATGAGAAGTTGAGACTGTTCATTTCTTTGTAAGTGAGCCAACATACAGTAAAGATGAATCAACAGAAGATCATATAATTATTTCCCTACCATACCATACTATAGTCCTTCTTCGTGCACACTGTTGCTCATTTCAATACATTTACAGCAGTTTGATGAACGCTCACCTGAAAATTTCAAGAGTCCAGTTTGATCTGTCCAGTCCACTTGACAGCAACTCGCCTGAGTCCTGCAGGTTGTTGTTACGCAGGTCGATCTCCATCAGACTACAGGACGGGGAGCTGAGAACTGAAGACAGAACTTTACAAGTTCTCCCTGAAATCTCACAGAACTGAAGTCTAAAAAAGGAAAAGAGAAAAGCATTTAGATTTTGTTTTTATACATATGGATTGCCATGTATTTTTCGTGTCAACCCATGGAGCAATCAGAGAAATAAATCTCTTATGTTTGCAGTTTATCACACATTTACTATAAAGGCAGGTCATATCTGTACAGAAGGTTTTATGTACGAAACAACGACCTGACATTTTCTAGACACGTTCTAGAAGGGCTGCAGGAGAACACACCATCTATTCTAACTTCTTCTTGAGATACCTGCTCAACTTTAAAACCATATCTGGAACAAAGGCATTCATAGAAACAGAGAGTGGAGGTGAAAACTGATGAGAACTATTGCTTTGTGTTTGTCTGCCTACATTAAAGGCGAGTTCAATGTCAAATCAATATCATGGCTGTATCTAAATGCACGTGATATTAAAACAGACAAAGGAGCAGTCCTAAAAAAGGGTGGTTGACCTTATATCAATCTTGTGTCTTCTACCAATTCACTTCTTTTTATTCATATAGCGCCAAAACACAACAAAGTTGTCTCAGGGCACTTTACAGGAGCATTCACATACATAAAAAAACAATTAGTAAAGTTCTCTATCTAAGGAAGCCAGCAGACACGTTGAACCTTCACTTCGTTGCAGTCTCCCATCCAGAGGGCTTGAGGTAATAAAAAGTTTAAAATGAGAAAAAAAAAAGCCTCAACACAAGTCTACAGGAAAGCTTCACATACAGACCAATACCTGCTTTATGATCTTCACTACCCACTGAAACTTAAACTACGCAGGGGTGTCAAACTCACTTCACTTCAATTCAATTCAATTCAATTCAAAAACACTTTATTAATCCCAGAGGGAAACTAAGTGTTGTCATAGCTCTCATCCTGGTTTCATTCAGGAGTTGTTATAGATGCTGATAGCTGTGGGCAGGAAGGATCTACTACAGTGAAGCAAAATAATCTGGCCAAAGAATCTGGCCACAGATACTGATCTGTCTACCTGGATCCAGCTTGCCGTCAGATCCAGCGGCCTTCTCGGTCCTCCTGGGCAGCAGGACTGCCCTAATGCCCTTGTTGATCCCATTGAGCCTCGAGGACTCAATGGGATCAACAAGTGACAACGGCCCATATGACAGGATGGAGGAATGAGTCAGCGACTCGTGTGGCCTTAACAGCCCTAATATAGTATCGTTGTAATGATTTAATAAGCCTGAAACACCCAGCCCACAATTAGAAATGAAGCCTTTTGGATGAGAACCTTCTTTAAGAAACAAGAGAAGTTCAGCTGCTTTCTGTTGAACCACTTACGATCATCATGTTCTGGATAACTGAGAATTTACACAAATGCTTTAAACACATCTCTGACACATTTGAAGAACTACTTTATCGTTTGACATAAAATCTTCTAGGAAGATTACTATTTTGTGCATGATAGAAACTTTGAAGTTGATAATTTAAAAAATATTGTTCTGACCTAAGCCTTTCCAGTTTGCAGTGTGGACTCATCAATCCAGAAGACAGCAGCTCCACTCCTGAATCCTGCAGGTTGTTGTTGCTCAGGTCCAGCTCTCTCAAATGAGAAGACTGGGAGCGGAGAACTGACGCCAGAGCTTTACAGCTTTTCTCCGAGAGGTTGCAGTCAGCAAGTCTGAGGGCAGGGTTAACAACAAATAAAATAAATCAGTTTTGTTGCTAACTTTCTGTACAAAACAAGCAGTGCATTTCTAAACATATATCACAAGAAAAATAAGGTCTACCTTCTTTCACTTCTACGGTTTTACATATACAGTATTCCCTCACTTATTACAGGGGTTACATTCCAGACACCCCCGCGATAGATGAAAATCTGCAAAGTAGGGATTTTATATTTATTTTAGTATTTCTTTTAAGGCTTTATAAACCCTTCCCATACTCTGCTCTAAAAGAGCACAGACTGATTCTACGGTTACTGAGCCAACCCCAGGGGTGGACCGGCCATCGGAAGCACCGGGACATTTCCCGGTGGCCTGGCCCGCTCAGTGATTGCCCAAGGTCTTGGTTCAGGTTATGCTTGATTATTTTAAATAAACAATCCATGCCACTCATGTTGCTCACTCAGGTATAAGACAGACCCCCAAACCACCCCCTCCTTTCTTTTTCCGAGGCTGTCTATCACAGCAGAGCAGGGACACACAACAGGTTGTGCGCTCGCCTGTTGTGTGTCTCTGCTCTGCTGTGACAGGCAGGCTCAGAAATAGAAAAGAGGAAGTGGGGTCTGTCTTTCCCCATTGCCAATAGTGTGTCGTGTACAAGCTTACATTGAAAACCCGCAAAAGAGTGAGTCCGCTAAAGTCGAACCACAAAGTATCAAGGGTCTACTGTAATAAAAAATTATCTTGTCTTTACCAGGTTTAAAACTTATTCAAATGTATTCCCAAGTGAACAAAACTTACAGTAGATTCCACATATCATTATTTAAAAAAGGGATTATGCATCATGTTTCAGGTGGATAAAATTGCACCTGAAAAGGGTCTTGATCTTCAATCTACGTTGATGCAGCTGTACCCCCACAAATTTTACATGAAAACGACTGGCTTGGCACCGTGATGTGTGCTCTTACTTGTCTTCGCATTTCGAGTTACCATGGCGATGTAATTAGTAAACAAATACGCCATTTTTCTCATTGAAAATCAATAGCTATGTTTAGATGCGCAACATTCTTTGATCTGATTCAAATGTGTTTGCATTAAATAATCCAAATGTATTGTTTAAATGGGCACAATCTGATCATGACGAGCGTTCACATACAGCGGGCTTTTATTCAAAATATAAGTACTGGCATATGCAGAGTGGTAAACTTTCCTTAAAAAAAACACAGAAGAAGTTCTACTTCTGTGATGAACTTAAACAAACCTGAGCGCGCAAAATGGACCCACGCCATGTTTTAATGATGGTGGAGAGGTTACTGTACTCACTGATTGAGCTACAGGTAATACAGATCATTTTGAGCTCTTTCAAAGTTTCTAATAGTAATATTGTGTCGCTCATCAACCAATTTTGCTTCCGACATATCATCTAGCCAGACGGAAATACATGAGCTGGGCATAGGTTGCAGTCACGTCAGTTTTCCACAATCAGAATAAAATGATCAGATTAAGTGTTTACATGCACACTGTTCAGATTATGAATCTGCATAAACCACCCCTCTCATTAGCTATGTTTACATGCGCAAAATTCTTTGACCAGATTGAAATGTTTTCAGATTAAATAATTCAAATGTATCATTTACATGGGCACAATCTGTTCATGACGAGCGTTTACATGCAGCAGGCTTTGCTCTGAACAGAAGTACTGACATGTACAAAGTGGTAAACTCTCCTAAAAAAAAACACAGAAGAAGAAGTTCTACTTCCGGTTTACTTTCGGGATGAACGTAAACGAATTGCTTCCCCGACATGCTAATATTACTAGCATTAGCCAAGCGGAAATGACATAGGTCGCACATGCGCAGTGAGGTCAGTTTTTCACGATCAGAAAAAAATGAACAGATTAAGCGTTTACATGCGCACCGTTCGGTTTATGAATCGGCGTAAACCACCCGTTTCGTTCTGATCACAAATCCTTTCAAATCGCACTGAATAAACAGAAAATAACCCGATCGGGGCGTTTACATGACTCATTTTTCCGAACGGCCGTTTAATCCGATTACTTATATACATGTAAACATGGCTATTTGGATTACAGATTCATTTAGATCGAGCTAAATCAGATCAGAATAATCCGAATGGGGCGTTTACATGACTTTTTTATTCTGAATGGGCGTTTAATCTGATTATGTCCATGTAGTTGAACCGCCTTTGAGGTCACATGGCCTAGTGGAGAGGTCCCTGAACTCAACTCAGTGTGACATCCAACAAACTCTTCCCACCACCACATCTTTTAAGATACACATGCATATTATATATCAAACCGTAGGCATTTTTGTCGTCTTTCCAGCAGTATTTCTGGTTTGGCTGTAGGAGTTGTGTTTTTTCCGTGAGCAGCTTCAGAAGGCAGAGTGCGACCACTTCGTGTCCCGTGTTTCCCCATTATCATTTTTCCAACTTTTTTGTTCAGATCGAATTGTAAGGAATGTTTTAAACTCGTCATATCTCTGACATATGTTGCTGTAAAAATGTGAAAATTCACAAGAGTGTGAACTGATCTCTTATCTCACTCACGGTTCAAGAATTTTTTCAATAGACTTTATAGTTTTTACACAGCAGATGTTTGTTTGAACCAAGATTAGCCACTTTTCCTCTTATACGTCTGTGTTACTGTACCCTGCTTACACACACACACACACACACACACACACACACACACACACACGCACATAAAATGGCGGGAAAATGTAGTTTTCTGATTGGCTAAGGTTGTTTCTACGGTAACTAGCCAGCTGACCTCTTATGAGGCTGCCAAAGGAAGGCATAGCTTCCGTAAAACGGAAGCCACATGATTGCATATCTGTACTGACACATTTAGAAACACCATGTAAACTTAAAGTGTCTGTCTGTTAGCAACATATCTCATGAACAGCTTGTTGGATATTTTGAAACTCACAGAAAGTTATCAATTGTATCTCTAGAACTGATTAACTTTTGGAGCCATTTTGGTTCAAGATGGCTGCCACAGCTACCTCAGAAAACACAAAATTGGCTATAAATCAGTCGTTCTTTAAGATACTGAGCTGAAATTTGGCATGGTGGTATCTGAGAGAGAACCCTAACACGTGGTACTGTCAAATCAAAATTCTAAAATGGCGACAATGTAGCTTCCTTGTCAAAGTTTCCCCAGGACATTTATAGTAATAGGTGGATGCCTTTCTAGGCAGTCCCCAATTAAACATTTGAGGAAGGAGCTGAAACATGGAGAACATGGAGAAGGTATGGGCATCAAGGCAAGTGAAAGTTTGGAATGACCATATTGGCAGCAGACCATGAATGAAGTTGAAATACTAGTTGAAATATAACGGCCTATGATTTATTGCAGTCCAAATAGCCCTTTGTGATATTAATACTGCATTCACTGATATTTTGATGAAAGTATACAGGTCCTTCTCAAAAAATTAGCATATTGTGATAAAGGTCATTATTTTCCATAATGTAATGATAAAAATGAAACTTTCATATATTTCAGATTCATTGCACACCAACTGAAATATTCCAGGTCTTTAATTGTTTTAATACTGATGATTATGGCATACAGCTCATGAAAACCCAAAATGCCTGTCCCAAAAAATTAGCATATTTCATCCCACCAATGAAAGACAAGTGTTTTTAATACAAAAAACTCCAACCTTCAAATAATCTTGTTCAGTTATGCACTCAATACTTGGTCGGGAATCCTTTTGCATGAATGACTGCGTCAATGCTGCGTGGCATGGAGGCAATCAGCCTGTGGCACTGCTGAGGTGTTATGGAGGCCCAGGATGCTTCGATAGCGGCCTTAAGCTCATCCAGAGTGTTGGGTCTTGCGTCTCTCAACTTTCTCTTCACAATATCCCACAGGTTCTCTATGGGGTTCAGGTCAGGAGAGTTGGCAGGCCAATTGAGCACAGTAATACCATGGTCAGTAAACCACTTACCAGTGGTTTTGGCACTGTGAGCAGGTGCCAGGTCGTGCTGAAAAATGAAATCTTCATCTCCATAAAGCTTTTCAGCAGATGGAAGGATGAAGTGCTCCATAATCTCCTGATAGCTAGCTGCATTGACCCTGCCCTTGATAAAACACAGTGGACCAACACCAGCAGCTGACATGGCACCCCAGACCATCACTGACTGTGGGTGCTTCACACTGGACTTCTGGCATTTTGGCATTTCCTTCTCCCCAGTCTTCCTCCAGACTCTGGCACCTTGATTTCCGAATGACATGCAAAATTTGCTTTCATCCGAAAAAAGTACTTTGGACCACTGAGCAACAGTGCAGTGCTGCTTCTCTGTAGCCCAGGTCAGGCGCTTCTGACGCAGTCTCTTGTTCAAGAGTGGCTTGACCTGGGGAATGCGGCACCTGTAGCCCATTTCCTGCACACGCCTGTGCACGGTGGCTCTGGATGTTTCTACTCCAGACTCAGTCCACTGCTTCCGCAGGTCCCCCAAGGTCTGGAATCGGCCCTTCTCCACAATCCTCCTCAGGGTCCGGTCACCTCTTCTCGTTGTGCAGCGTTTTCTGCCACACTTTTCCCTTCCCACAGACTTCCCACTGAGGTGCCTTGATACAGCACTCTGGGAACAGCCTGTTCGTTCAGCAATTTCTTTCTGTGTCTTACCCTCTTGCTTGAGGGTGTCAATGATGGCCATCTGGACAGCAGTCAGGTCGGCAGTCTTACCCATGATTGCGGTTTTGAGTAATGAACAAGGCTGGGAGTTTTTAAAAGCCTCAGGAATCTTTTGCAGGTGTTTAGAGTTACGTCGTTGATTCAGATGGTTAGGTTAATAGCTTGTTTAGAGAACCTTTTCATGATATGCTAATTTTTTGGGACAGGCATTTTGGGTTTTCATGAGCTGTATGCCATAATCATCAGTATTAAAACAATTAAAGACCTGAAATATTTCAGTTGGTGTGCAATGAATCTGAAATATATGAAAGTTTCATTTTTATCATTACATTATGGAAAATAATGACCTTTATCACAATATGCTAATTTTTTTTAGAAGGACCTGTAACTCGTTTTTGTACTTACAGAGCTTTGTTGGAGGCTTTAATCACCAGCAGAAGCCTTAGAAGAGCCTTGTCTGAAGCAGAATATCTCTTCAAGTCAAGCACATCCAGATTTTCTGGTGACATTAAGATGAAGACCAGCGCTGACCACTGACAAGTAGACAGTTTATCTGCAGAGAGACTTCCTGACCTGAGAGACTGTTGGATCTCCTCTACAAGAGAACGATAGTTTAGCTCATTCAGACAGTAGAAAAGGTTGATGCTTTTCTCTGCAGATGAACTCTTGTGGATTTTCTTCTTAATATATTGAACTGTTTCCATATTGTCCTGTGAGCCACTTTCTGTTTGTATCAGGAGGCCTCTTAGGAGAGCCTGATTGGTCTGCAGTGACAGTCCAAGGAGGAAGCGGAGGAACAGATCCAGGTGTCCATTTGGACTCTGTAAGGTCTTATTAACAGCACTCTGATAGAAATCTTTTGGCTTTAACTTGTGTACGATTTTAGACAACTTAGAATGTGCTTGTTCTTCGATCAAGTTGACCCCAGAGTTGAAGAAGGTCAGATGGACATGAAGAGCAGCCAGAAACTCTTGGACACTCAGGTGGACGAAGCAGTACACCTTGTCCTGGTACAGCCCTCTCTCCTCTTTAAAGATCTCTGTAAACACTCCTGAGTACACGGAAGCTGCTCTGATATCGATGCCACACTCTGTTAGGTCTGACTCGTAGAAGATCAGGTTTCCTTTCTGCAGCTGCTCAAAAGCCAGTTTCCCCAGAGATTCAATCATCATCCTGCTCGCTGGACTCCAGTGTGGATCTGTCTCAGCTCCTCCATCATACTTGACCTTCTTGACATTGGTCTGAACCACCAGGAAGTGGATGTACATCTCAGTCAGGGTGTTGGGCAGCTCTCCTCCCTTTCTGGTTTTCAACACGTCCTCCAGAACTGTAGCAGTGATCCAGCAGAAGATCGGGATGTGGCACATGATGTGGAGGCTTCGCGATGTCTTGATGTTGGAGATGATCCTGCTGGCCTGCTCCTCATCTCTGAATCTCTTCCTGAAGTACTCCTCCTTCTGTGGGTCAGTGAAGCCTCTGACCTCTGTCACCATGCCAACACATTCAGCAGGGATCTGATTGGCTGCTGCAGGTCGTGTGGTTATCCAGAGGCGAGCAGAAGGAAGCAGGTTCCCCCAGATGAGGTTTGTCAGCAGCACATCCACTGAGGTGGACTCTGTAGCATCAGTCAGGATCTGATTGTTGTGGAAGTCCAGAGGAAGTCGACACTCGTCCAGACCATCGAGGATGAACAGAACCGCTAATTTTTCAAACCTGGAGATTTCTTGGGTTTTAGTAAAAAAGTGATGAACAAGTCCCACCAAGCTGAACTTTTTGTCTTTCAGCACATTCAGCTCTCTGAACGTGAATGGAAATATGAACCGGATGTTTTGGTTGGTTTTGTTTTTACTCCAGTCCAGAGTGAACTTCTGAGTCAGGACTGTCTTCCCGATGCCAGCCACGCCCTTCGTCACCACCGTTCTGATTGGTTCATGCCTTCCATGTGGGAGTTTAAAGATGTCTTCTTGTCTGATTGTTGTTTCAGGTCTGTGTGGTTTCCTGGATGCTCGTTCAATCTGTCTGACCTCATGTTCATCATTGACCTCTCCAGTTCCCCCCTCTGTGATGTAGAGCTCGGTGTAGATCTGACTCAGGAGGCTTGGGTTTCCTGCTTTAGCAATCCCCTCAAACACACACTGGGCCTTCTTATTCAGATAAGATTTGTGTCTGTGTTGACAAACTGGAGCCAAATGTTCTGAACAAAGACAAAAAAATGGCAATGAAGCATATATTCATCTAAATAAAGTGTTTGAATTTCTGTTGAGACATGAGTAAATGCCTCATTTAGTTAACAGAGTGAATCTAAAGAGATCTTCTCACTGCTCTGCAGACAGTCGGCCAGTTCCTCCTGCTTCATCATCCTCAGGAAGTTCAGTGTGATCTGTACAAGTGCCTCTTTGCTGCTCCTCTGCTCTTCATCCTCACTCTGACTCACTGAAGAGTCTTGGTAATCTGAACTCAGAAGCTTCTGGATCTTCGTCAGCTCGTTCTTCACAAAGGTGACCATGTTGTCCTTCAGCAGCTGGAACAGAATGTTAATGAACGACACATCAGACTGAAATCATGGAACACCAGATCCATGTTGGACAGACTGACTGGACTACAAAGTGCAACAAGGAGATGACTGAAAACAGAACCGATGGAAAAACAGACCATAAATACGGAGTCCAGATGTGTTTCATGCTGCTGGATAGACTGACCACTGGAACCATCTGAGCTCTGCTGGTCCACTCTGTTGAACAGGAATGAAGAATTACACATATCTGTCCACACAAAGATTAATACAAGCTAAAGGTCCATGTGCAGTCATGCTCCAAACAGTGTTTCTGGAGTGGTTACCCTGTTGTGACGGTCACATGACGAAACAAAACATTAATGGCTTCCAGAAGAATGAGCTGAAAATGCTTCATTTCTAGAAGCTCTGAGTATTTCCACTGGAGATCAGATTTTTTTTTACAGAAAATTTGACATTTTTTCTATTCGATATGAAGAACACTTCCATTCGGCCAATTTGTGTTGGAGTTTGAGTTTTTCTCCTGCAGCTTCAAGGCACTAGACGGCACCAATAAGTACACGCCTGTGGACCAGTCACCTGATGAGCTGCAGGAGTGCATAAGGCAGTTGATGACTTCTTTTCGACACTGGTGCATTATCTGCCAATTTCACTGACTCCTGTGTTCCTCCTGTGCCTTGGACTTCCCTGGTTTGATCCTAAGCCTCTTTGTGACCTCTCCAGCTGTTCCTCGCCGTCCAGTACTTGCCCACTGATAAATGCAACCTTCCTGGAAGTCCCTCCTTTGTGGTTTCTGGAACTACTGGTCTCTCATCCCTATGATGACCATTTCCTCCAACAAGATGCAAACAAATATCTTCAATCATCCTCAAGGACCTAAACCTTCAAGTAACCCTTGTCCTTGCTCTCCAGGGTTCCAATCCCTTCCAGCTGTGTTGCAGCCAATTGTTGAATTTCACCTATTGTAAATATCCATCCATCCATTTTCTTTACCCGCTTCTTCCATTTTGGGTCATGGGGGTCGCCGGTGCCCATGTCCAGCAATCACTGAGCGAGGGGCGGGGGACACCCTGGACATGTCGCAAGTCCATCACAGCTATCGTAAATAAACAATGTTAATTGTTTGTTGTCTTAGAGTTGCTATTTTCAGTCATGACTATCTGGGTATTTAGTAAACCCTTACCATATGTTTCTGTTTTGTTCACGAGTGAGGGAAGAATGGAGCGTGACATTGACAGATGGATTGGTGCAGCGTCTGCAGTATTGTGGACTGTACTGGTCCACTGTGGTGAGGAGGGAGCTGAGCTGTAAGGCAAAGCTCTCTGTTTACTGGCTGGTCTATGTTCCTACCCTCACCTATGGTCATGAACTCTGGGTAGAAACGGAAAGAATGAAATTGTGGATACAGGTGGTTGAACCCAGTTTCAACCCTAACCCTTAGAGATAGGGTGAGAAGTTCAGTCATCTGGGAGAGACTGAGTAGAACGGCTGCTCCTCCACATTGAGAGGAGCCAGTTGGGACGGTACGGGCATCTGGTAAGGATGCTCCCTGGGTGCTTTGGGCATGTCCAACTGGAAGGAGACCACGGAGAAGAACCAGGACACGCTGGAGAGAATGTCTCTCACTTGGCCTGGAAATGCCTTGGGGTCCTCCCAGAAGAGCTGGAAGAGGATGGATGGATGGATGGATGGATGGATTTTTCTGTTTCCATTCATGTTTTTGGTATACAATTCCACCAGCAACTTTGGAAAATTTTAACTAAATGCAAACTACACCCCAAAAACATAGACATTGTATAAACTGCAAATTTAAAACCAGAATGCAATGATTTGCAAGTGTCACACACCCACATTTGATTCACATTAGACATATCAAACATTGAAGAAACTGGAGATGAATTGGGTATTTCTTAATTTGATGGCAGAAACGCATCTGAAATCAATTGGGACAGGGACAACAAAAGGCTGCCAACAAAAACAACGTTGAGAAACTGGTGTGGAATGGAGCTGAGATCAAATTAAACCCACAATGAAAGAAAATAAAAGTAGTTTACAGGTACAACATTTCAGTACAACTCACCTTTCTAAAGCAGAAGGTTGGTCTGTGTTGAAAAAAATACCAATATTCTTGGAAAAGTTACTTTTAAGAGACACACAGCTGGGCTCAGGGTCAGGTCGCTGATGGACGCTAAAATAAAAACAGTTACATGGGATTTATATCTAATAATATTTAGCTATAGTAAACTTTTCTTTACTGTACGTAGAGAAAGCATGTCAGTATTTTTAAAGATTTTGCTGAAGCTCAAAATTTTCACAGCAACTTTGCAAGTCGATGAAAAACAACAAAAGACAAGCTAGCTGTTTGCACACCACTGACATACTGGAATAAAAACATTTAAAACTCTTAGAATATTTAATGACAGCTCACCTTTTGGAAGCAGAAGGCTGGACTGCTTTAAAATCAGTAACAAAATCCTTAGAAAGGTTACTTTTGAGGGACACACAGCTGGGCTCAGGGTCAGACTTAGATTCAGATTCAGGCATGAGACCTGGTTTATTCCTGACGGCGAGATATTTTATTAAAACATGTATCCACAGACGACGTGAAGCAGAAAACAACTCATTAAATGAATGAACAACTGATGAATGTACATTGTCAGGACACTTCAAACAGCTGCACTTCTATAGAACTCACTTTCTTGCTGCAGGTGGTGGATCTGAACGAGCATCCAGGGAAAGACTCGTGGAATCGTCACGTGTACAAGACACAAGCCTCGACTCAGGTTCAGGTTGATTCCTGTGAATGTAGACAATTTACTGATGTGACGCTGAGATGAACACTAACAGATGATCTTAAGATCAACTGCATGGTCCCGGACACTGTCGACCCCCTTCAGTTTGCCTATCGCCCTAACCGATCAGTGATGATGCAGTATAGCCCTCCACACTCTGCAACACCTGGAAAGCAGCAGAACAAAACCCAGAATGCTGTTCCTGGACTACAGTTTGACTTTAAATGCCCTCCGTCGGGGCAAAACGATAGAGAAGCTGATGGACCTCGGCGTCCCACCTGTAACTGGATCCTGGACTTTCTGACAGATGGACCACAGGTGGTGATAATGGGAGGACGGGTGTCTGCTGGACTCAGTCAGCACAGGATCCCTGCAGGACTGTTGCCTGCACGTTAAAAGATGTTGACCTTGTTGCTTTACTTCATTAGGCTGCTCAGGAAATCAGGTGTGAACCAGCGCCCTCTCACCCAGGCCTACAGAGGACTAACCACAGCACCACCGTCTGGTATGGGAACGCCACACAAGCAGAAAGGAAGTCACAGCGACGACATGACGACTGTGGAGCGGATCACAGGGACAAGCGTCCTTCCATGGACTCGTCGTATGAGCAGAGCTGTTGAAGGAGAGCAGCAGGAATCATCCAGCTCACGCTCTTATCACTAAAAATGTTCATCTAACCCAGTCCTTCTCAAATAGCGGGGCGCCTGGAGCAATGCCGGGGGGGGCGCATGTGACCCCGGGGAACATATTGCGGCAGGGATTCGTTTTTATTTTGCACCATTGTCGTTGCGTCAGGGTGCGTTCAGCAACTGTTTGCTAAAATCCATCAACTCTCAGGCTCACTAATCGTAAAGTTATGAACAAACGTGTCTCTTGTCGTTTGGGGAGCCGTGATGGAGCCGTGTCGCTGTGACGCCTCAGCGGGTGACGCTCCGGACGCTTGTCACCCACAGCAACAAAGAGTATAAACTCAAAGCGAGAGCGTCACCTGCCCCTCTTCCTCTTTTACAATTTATTTTTAGTTTGTCAAAGCACAATTTTTTTTTAATCCTTTTATCAATACAGAAGTAATTTTTAATAAATGTTAGGACTCTATTCTTTGCTAACAAAATATATCTTGTCATTAAACAACTTGTCAGGTTCTTGCGAGCGCGTCCCCCAATACCGCCCCCCACCCCCAGCCAGCTCGCTCGCTCTTGAGCTCGGTGCGTCTTCTTTGCTGCCGCTGCTCTGAGACCAAGTCCAGGTCCAGAAAGTTGCAGGATCACGTTTCAAACTCTGCTTCAAAAAGCTGTGCACTGCAAAACATGCTTATCGTAGCCATTAAACCAGACTTCCTCATTTTTATTAAAAAAAAACAGCACAAATTGTTTTATAGGTCAAAGTGTTGTATATGTTAAAATGTTGCAGAGTTTGAATTTATTATTAATTATATTTCATTTGATTGTTCAGTATCAAATGGTCAAAAATGTTTACAGTTTAAATAAGGATAGATTATTTTTAATTTCAGGCAAACTGATGCACTTTAAGCCGTTTCTGTTACAGACTATAAAACGATGTTAATAATCTTTGTCGTAAGTTGATCTATATTTGTTTATTTATTTAATATTAATAAGGGTACAATGATATGCAGAAGTGTACTTATAACATTTTTTTAGACAAATTATATTATTTACAGTCGGGGCGGAGAGTTGGGGGGGCGTGAAATGTTTACTTCTTCCTAGGGGGGGTGTAACCGAAGATAATTGAGAAGCAGTGATGTAACCTGAGACAGAGCAGAGCTGACATCATCATCATCATCATCATCATCACCCACAGTATGAGGCGTTTCATAGATTTTTCTCTGCCACAGTCACTGATGGGACAACACCACCATGGAATCAGGTGCAACAAAAACCCTGAACCTTCACTGGTCATGTGACCTGCTTGACCTTCTGTACAGCGGAGACAGAAACCACTTTGTTCTTATTTTTATTTTATTAAGTGTTTCAGTGTTTTATGAGCTCTGCACAAGAATACCAGTGTTCCTGGATTGTTGGTCTGTGCACAAATGGTAAGTAAAGAACTTTGAACTTGATCTTCTCACCTCTGATCTTTGCTCTGCTCCTCGTGTTCTCCACCTAGAGGGGTTTCAGAGGGAGGACCTCCTTTCTCTCCACCCTCACTCCGATCCATGCTGCTGGACTCAGGTCAGCTCAAACACCTTCTGCCTTCACCTGCTGAGGAAACACACATACATTCAGCCGTGCAGCACAATCCAGTTTTTCTTGGTCCTGATTCCTGCAGCAGCTCAAACAGACTAACACTAAACATCTGGAACCACTGTATCTAAAGATACTCACAATTTAATAATCTGACTGGGACGTTAGTCATTTTACTTTGAAGGTCTCACAGGAAGTATGTTTTAACATTTAGATTACTGAGAAATGAAAGTGAAAATAACAACAAAGTGAAAATACTGTAAACCGTTTTAGGAGGGAAAAAATGAACATTCAGTAAACCTGATGCTGTTTGACTGTATTTATTTAATAATCAGGTGATTTCTTGTCGAACAATAAAGATGTCTTGTGTTGAAATAAGTTTGTGTAAAACAGAAACTAACGCGGAATAAAGACAAATATAATCTGAAAATATAAATATATTCTAATATCAATCAGAGGAAACTTACATTTATCTGAACGAAGTTAAAGAGTT